TGCTTAGGAAAGGAATAATTCGCCGATGAGTTTGGATGTATTGGGACAGAGTCCAAGTTGGAGCCTATCGAGCTCGGTCTCCTGTCATTGTTGACCGTCGCAGTGCCAGTATCTTCCGTTGATGCTGTCGATTCTTTGCGGTCTCTTTTACTGGAAGGAGTCTCCGTCGATTTGCCCAGCGACTGATAGTATGACAAGTCCGGTAGCTGAGCCTTTCGGAGTAAATCCGTCATTGCAAGCTCAACCGTCGTCTTCCACCTGTATGTTTATGGAACGATTAGCGATGGTGTACCAATAATGACGATATGGATATGGCTAGATCTACTCTGTCTCATCGTCCAGTAGAGTCTGTAGGCTCTTGTTGACAACACAGTCCAAGCCCATGCGACGGCATCTCTGACATGGCGGGTCCCCTTCCTTATCGCAGCGCACCTTGTGATTCTTGCAGTTTGTACATGCACGGATTCTCCGTGAGATCTTAGGAATATGCCTCAGAATTTGCTGTTTTGAATCCTCATCGGTCGCGATATGCGGGTAAGCTCCCTGGGGAGAGGCTGAAGACGCATGGCCATTGCCTTCGAATTGAATGCGACTCCGCTTCATGGTTACTGTAAAAAGGGGAGACTCATCCTCGAAGCAGTGCGTAGAATTGTACCGTTGTATATGACTTTGCTCTCCATGAATATGGCCCCCGTTGAAGAGGGGTGCGACATTCAGCCGGAGGGGGGAGATTGGATAATCAAGTCCGGCCTAGTATGGGGTAGCTGTGCGCCTCTCTGACAGGCTCTGCCTACATTTGCACCAACTTCACTTATCTATTATCTATCGACCGAGAACGGAGGGACTACGAATGCCGGCAGCGAATAGCAGTGCCTCCTCGCCGTTACTGACTTCCTTTCGGCTTTCCAAGCTCCTACACGGGGAGAACAAAAGTCTGGGCCCCTGGGGTCTCGCCGCCTTACAGTAACGGCCTTGGCGCCTGAGGCCGGGGAAACTCCCGCGGGGTTTCAGCATCACGTGGATATCTAGCTCAATTGCACTAATCCCAATCAGGCTCAAATGATGTATGGCGCGTTCATCCGTCCGCGGCGCGTCTGATCGCGAATCAAGCTATTTTTGAGCTTCATATCTCGAACACACTTTTACCTCTAGTGAGTGGTTTATCAACACAGCAAGGGAGTAGCGATCATCCTCTTCTTTTGGCTTATTCTAAATTTTAGAGCAGTCGCCATGGGTATTAAACGTAAGTCAACTTTGGGCCAGTTAAGCAGCTACTACCACATGGTTTGAAGCTTGAATAGAGCTGATTGGGGGGCCTCTAGATTTGTTTCAAGTGATTCAAGAGAATGCACCAGATGCTATCAAGGCAGGGGATATCAAGAATCACTTTGGCCGAAAGGTTGCCATAGTATGTAATCCTTTTCTCCCGATCCTACTAGCCAACTTGGAAACGAATTTGAAAGTTGCAGTGATACTTACAAGCCGTGTGTGAATAGGATGCGTGCGTTGAACATTTCTCGAACACGTCAGGTCATGTAACTCACATCTTGCAGGTCTATGAGTATCTATAGTTTCTTGATCGCCGTCCGCTCGGAGGGCCAGCAGCTCATGAGCGAGTCGGGCGAGACAACGTCGCATTTGATGGGAATGTTTTACCGGACATTGCGCATGGTCGATAACGGGATCAAGCCTCTCTATGTCTTTGATGGAGCACCACCGAAACTCAAGTCTGGTGAACTTGCGAAGCGTACTGCACGAAAAGCCGAGGCTACTGAAGCCCATGAGGAAGCAAAAGAGACCGGCACTGCGGAAGATGTTGAGAAGTTCTCGCGGCGCACGGTACGTGTTACGAGGGAGCATAATGCCGAATGCAAAAAGCTGTTGAAGTTGATGGGTATCCCGTACATCGACGCTCCGACAGAGGCGGAGGCCCAGTGTGCGGTGCTTGCGCGTGCAGGGAAGGTCTATGCCGCTGCTTCCGAGGATATGGACACGTTATGTTTCGAGGCACCAATCCTTCTCAGGCATCTTACGTTCAGCGAGCAGAGAAAGGAACCCATTCAAGAGATCCATCTGAATCGTACTCTAGAGGGCCTCGGCATGGATCGTCAACAGGTAAGCATCTTTTTTATCCCCAGGGTCACTTGATGGATATGATTTTCTCATGCCTACTCCCGGCTGCACAGTTCATTGATCTATGCATTCTTCTCGGCTGTGACTATCTGGAACCTATCCCCAAGGTCGGGCCAAACACCGCTTTGAGACTCATTCGGGAACACGGAAGCCTGGAGAAGGTGGTCGAGGCAATCGAGAGCGACCCCAAGAAGAAATATGTCATCCCAGAAAATTGGCCCTATCAGGATGCAAGGGAGCTGTTTCTCCATCCGGACGTGCGAGAAGCTGACCATCCTGAGTGTGACTTTAAATGGGAGGCGCCAGATGTTGAAGCTCTAGTGGAGTTCCTGGTCAAGGATAAGGGTTTCAATGAGGACCGGGTTCGCAACGGAGCCGCTCGCCTGCAGAAGAATCTCAAAACCGCTCAGCAATCACGGCTTGAGGGCTTCTTCAGGCCGGTCGCCCGGACGGATGAGGAGAAGGCTAGTCTCAAACGCAAGCACGATGAGAAGTTACAGGAACAAAAGAAACGCAAAAAGGAAGAGGCCAAGGCTAAGAAGGAGGCCAAGTCGAAACCTCGCGGTGCTGCGTAGGTTGCTTGTCTTTTGCACGACCAGCTTCGCAGGAGTCGTGTCGGGAAGACCATCATCTCAAGGGGGTCACGGGGCTCGCATGTTGCGTGTCAGCCTATGTAATATTGCTGGCGTTTCTGGCTTTAGTTACGGGAGCGGCGTTTTCTTTTCTCATGGCATATGATGGTTCACGTATGATTAGGGATTGCAAAAGAACATGATTTTTTTCTGTTTATACGTTATGTTCTGATTTTGACAGTACCTTGTGCTGCGTAGGGACACTGCATTCCTCCGTCCTCCACTCGTCCGTTGACCCATTTTGACAAGGACGCTCAATGGTAGACGTATAATAGTAATGGGGTTCTTTTCTTTTCGATAATATGGCTACATTGCAGGATTTAGATTCTTCGAGTACTAAAGCGTGGACAAAGCCTGCTCGTGCATCCGCCCACTGCGGAATGATATATATGCATTGGTGTCTAATAGCAACAGTGGTAATCCCTGGTCCCACCAGTACAATATCTCAGAGTCAATCTTTCTGAATTAATGTAGGATCTGATGCAACAACATTAGAATCAGGAGCAGATTGGATTTGGCAGCAATGAAAGGATTAAATGAAGGTTCATGCTATGTTACTTCACCGTCAAGGATGAGAGAGCGCAGTGGTATTACCAGACTTCATCGACACCGTTCTACTCGTTATAGAGGCTACTTTAGAATGAGAATCATAATAGCAGGTATGCTGGATGCTAGATCGACGCACCTTTCCCTAGAATTCTTTTGCCACAAGCCTACCGATGTGATGATGTCCTCCGGCCCATGAGCCACACGGCGGCCCGGTGCAATGATGTAAACAATGGATCAGTCAAACAGAATCATGCCGAGGATTCACATCCTTCAGAATTATTTTGATCCAGAATTGAATTCTACAAAAAAGTGACCTATGACGGCAATCTGGGTGAAAAAGTCAAGATATAACCATGGTTCAGTAACAAAATGATTGGCAGGAAGGTAAAGTAGTACGTACTTGGATGTCTCCCACCATTGACGACCTGGGTATATTCTCTAACCACATGATCTCCCTTCGTTTCCGGCTGAAATCATACCTAGCTTAACTTGAGATAACCTTTCTTACAGTTGTCCAGGGAAAGGATGCTCATTGGCGCAGAGACAAGCTTCAGCCAATACAGTATATCATGGATATCATCGTCATGGACACACACTCTACCCTCGTGACCCAACCCAAAGCACGAGCGAAGGTGGACGAAACCCTCCACCACCTTCGATTCCAATCATGTTTGCTTACCAACAGAGAGAAACTGTAAATATGCAAGGGGATAGATCATTGACTTCAGTTCCTCAGCCTCTAGTTTATGAGCACGGTGCAAGCTGTCAGGAGTGGATGAGCTTGATTGAACTGCAATGAATAACGGTACAATCCCATCGCATCTTGACGGTTTCAGAAGTCGCTTTCAACCACCGCAGATCTGACAGAAAAATGTTCAAACTCTTTCTTCAAAAGCGATAGAAGTCAAATTCAATCAAAGTCCATAATAACTTCATACCAAGATTTAAGTAATTTATTTGGTAAAAAAGGTGAATAACCTGGCAAGGGAGAGGGGTCCTGATCGAGAGCCCACAAACAACGCGAGGATGGAGAAATTGAGTGGACAAAAAGGAGGTAGAATAACAGGTTGCCTGATTAGTTTCGCCTGGAATGCGCATAGGCCGAAATCAAAGCTCCTATAGCCTTCATTATGAACATGATAGACAGGTGCGAAAAAGGGAGAAGGAATTAAAATCCATCGCCTACGTGTATGGAGCAGAGGGAAGACAAGAAGTGCTTAAGGCAGACAATAGGATCATGCGCGTACAAAACAACAGAAACTCCATAGGTCCTCTTAGCGATTCCCTATTGTTACTTTCAAAGGCTGATCGTCGCGCTACACTGGTTCAATATGTACCTGCTAAATCATTATATAAAAGCCTAAGATATGGAAAGCACAAATATCGAGGCAAAATAAAAATTAGAGAAGAGGAAAGCGAAGAAAAGGAGGGAGAGATTCGACGTGTTTTGCCGCTTCTGCTTGCGAGTGATCCTGTGTCAACACCGGCTGCCCTATAAATCGCGGTGCCCCGCGGCTTTTCCACCCCTTCCGTTGTCGACTGCTTTTTCTCTTCCTCGATTTCGCACACCACCCAGCGGTCTATTTTAGGAGCTTCTAGACATTGAATCCTTCTTCTGGATCTCTTGATTTATATATATACCTACCTTCACCATCAGAAACACCAATCCCCCTCTTACCTTTCAACATGCCTCCTAAGAAAGCTTCCACTGGCGCGACCAAGAAGGCTGCCGCGAGCCACGCCTCCTACCGTGGTATGTTTCTACTGATCTTTCATCGCCACCACTTCGCGTTTGCTTGATTTTGATATCATTTTCGTCGCGAATGTCTGCTAATTCAGAAAATATAGATATGATCAAGGATGCTATCCTGAATGTGAGTTGATCACGCTGTTTCCGAGGCGCCTTTTGATGATGGTGCCGGGTGGAACTTCCCCGACCGTGACACGTCTGCACGGCGCTTGATTGTCCCAACCACCCATCGGACTGCTTTTTATTTTATCTCAAGTTGGTCGCTGACATCTCTTTTATAGCTCAAAGAGCGTAATGGTAGCAGGTATGTAGTTTTTCTGGTAATATCCTCAGCATAGATTCATCGCCGCTGGCGACGTGGCTCAACTTCCCCTCACAATCACCTTACTTCTTATGACGCGATCAAACTAACGTATGATTTTTTACATCATTACAGTCGCCAGTCTATCAAGAAATATGTACTGGCCAACAACAAAATTGCTTTCGCCAGTCAGGCCGCTTTTGACAGCCAGTTCAACAAGGCTATCAAGGCCGGTGTTGAGAAGGGAGAGTTCACTCAGCCCAAGGGTAAGTCGCTGTCTGCCGCGCATCTGCACCTTTCGTGCTCTCAGATCATTTCGATCAATCCCGAGCGTCTTGCGGCGTCTCACTGGCTGCGCATGTTTCTTTTGCTGAATCGTAACACTGACGCGTCTCAACTTCCAGGTCCTTCCGGCCCTGTGAAGCTTGCCAAGAAGGAGCCTGCTGCTAAACCAGCTGCCAAGGTGAGTTCAAAGTACATATTAAATCGATCAAGCAAAGGCATAACTAATATGCATCATACAGAAGGCCACTACTACTCCAAAGGCTGCTGCCCCCAAGAAGGCTGCCGCTAAGAAGACGGAGAAGGCCGAGAAGCCTGCTGCCAAAGCTACCACCAAAAAGGCCGGCACCACCACCAAGAAAGCTACTGGAAGACCCAAGGCCAACACCGCCAAACCTCGCAAGGCCTCGACCGCGGTATGTGACCGTCATCGCTGTTGCTTGTCGATTCCCAGTGTATGCTAATACGTAAGCAGGCCCCTGCTGTGGTCGACCAACCCAAGGTTCTCTCCACGACCAAGTCAGGCCGAGTGACCAAGACGACAGCGAAGCCCGCTGAGAAGGCCACCAAGAGGAAGGCCACAACGGCCAAGAAGGCCGAGAAGAGCGAGGCATAAATGCCATCGCTAGGGTCGTTCTGAGCGATTTCTCTTATGTTTGCTCCTTTCCCTTCCAATGCTTCTTCGTCTGTGACGTGCGTTTTTGAGTGATATCTCTTTGGACTGTATCCCTTTATCTTCTTCCCTTCTGTTGTAATTTGCTTTGTCCCGCCACCTACCATCTTTACTGGCCGTTGCTGTGGCTGCTCACGGGATGTCTTGTCGATTGCTATTGCTCACTTTTTATGTTTTTGGAATGTTGGTAGGGTTGGCGTCCTGCGGTGGATCTTTTTTCCAGGGGGAAACATCTTTTCTGCGTTTGGGGCACTCGTTCGAGGATACGTCTTGAAATGGAATTGCTTTTTCTTATGTTTATACGACGGACACCCGTAGACTGTAGTTGTAGGCGGTGGCCATTGTACTGCTATCTGGCTCGTACTTCCCGACCCATTTAGGTTATGCCATGTACTATGTACTATCCCGTTGCCGGAAACTTGAATTACGCTCTCTGGACTTCTTCTGCAGCCTCTGTGATACGCGTTCTGCCAGACATGCGCATTGGGTGGACATATGTTGAACAGCAGATCAGCGATATTGAACCATGCGCTACAGTTGCGCGCAGCATTAGAATTCCAGCAGGCAAACTGATCTTACTCCTAGTTAGGGATGGGCTGCTCGAAGCGAGAAAATACTTCGGAGTATTTGATTATTTCGGCGTTTTCTTGGCGTCTGGACCAGATTCATTCCCTCTGGATGTAAGCATGAATTATGGGATGGTCCAGTTTACTTCAAAAATGTAAGGATGTCCCTTGCGTGCAGATGATGTCTCCTGACCTGACATGACAGCATGCATCGCATGGATGTAGGTGTTGAGCAGGTGGGCAGGAAGAGAATGCTTATTATCAGAGCAGCAGTTAGAATGGTCAGCTGTTGAGCTGCTAGGTTTATTGGTATGACAGGAGTACTTACAATTGATTGATTGCCAGGCGATATACCCACTGAACAAGAGTTCCCCTGTGTCAGATTGTTTTATATATATAAGCTGCATGGCTTATCCAAACCGACATTGCGAAATCCATAGCAATATAACAGGGAGATAGAAAGCTCTGCCTGGGATTCTGTCCTTGATAATGTAGACTCTAACCTGCCTTAGGAACCATGATGATATCTAGCACATTGCCAGTGGCATCAATGAGCACGTAATCGGCGTGGGTGTAGTACTTCAGTCTTCGGCTACGGGACACCAGTACGGAGCACTAAAAGGGGACATAATCAAACCCAATGCATTTGTTTGTACCGGACTCTACGGAGTAGAACAACTATAACAATCTGAAATAATCATGAACTTGATGCTGCCATTGGAGCTGAACAGTGGAGTCGAGACCGTGGGCCCGTTTTCTCCGTTTAAATAACCAACCTCTTTGTTTCCGCCGGGAAAAACACCAATCATGGGTACGAGGCTTCATGAGTATCATGAATCATCAGATATGAACTCCACGAGGCCCTTAAAGCGCAGTAATAGTAAGAATAATAATACAAAGATCTAAGAAAAGAACATCCCTAGTTCCTAGGCGGGACCTGTAGACTCCAGGCCTCCGTCTTTCTACCCTCTCCTTTCTTGCTTTTCTCCCCGCTCTCTCTCTCTCTGTTTGTTCCTGTTGATATTTACCACCACACTCCTTTTCTCATCTGTCTTGAATCGATACCAATATCAATATCAATCAATATTTATCATAGTCAATCCCTCTGCGGTGCACCGGCTGACTGAGCCACAAATTATACTGCTGCATAACTCCAATCATACAGTATCTGTCCAGAGCATAATATCTAATAACCATCATCCCCCTTCAGGACGCCATCTCGAACTATCCGAGCTTGGTCATCCCTCTTCATCTTAGCTCCAGCTGTCTCTCTCTTTTCTCTCTCCTTCCTCCCTTCAATCCTGACCTTCATACGCTTTTTTAACCAATCTCCTCCTCCTCGTCCCCCCTCTCCTTCGGCTATTAGAGAGGTCTGTCTCGGTGATTCGCCGCCTCTGACCACGTTGTCTCTGTCTCGACTCTTACTTTCCGTCCTGAACATGCTTATCGGTCGCTGAACTTTCTGCCACGCCTATCCCGGCTGGCCACTCCAGCTCGACTCGGGAAGAATACCACCACCCCCGACCTCTCTGCTCCTCGTTGCCTCGAATTCAGTTGATCATTACGTGCATTGAATTAATATACCGTATTGCTTGATCGGTCGGCTGTCACAATCACTTCCCTTTCTACGCCTTCTGTTGCTTGTCCATCTTGTCGTCCTCCCATTGGTTCACAGCGTCATCTTATTAAGTACCCGAAGCGATTTCCTCCCGTCTGCTCGTTCGGATTCGTTGGTCCACGCAGACCTCACGTCACAGTCCCATCCCCTCTTTCCTTCTTTTCCCCTGGAACTCCTGCTCCCTGCCCCTTGGGCGCCGCAACAATAAGGGAAAAAGGAGCGCACCATGCCCTCTTTCTCCAACGACGGGCCTTATCAGTCGTCTACTGCTACGGCTACACACCCTCGCCCGTTTGATTCACCGCAAGGGAAAGTGCACGACAGAACCCCCGTTGGAAATACGTTTCTATGGACAAACTGGCCGAACGGTGATACGAACCACCTCGAATCTCAGTCAACAGATCGTCAATATTCCTCAGATCTGAAGAATGGCAGTGCCTATTCTTTGAATGGGCCCCGGTCAAGCGCTAGCTCCTACACACGAGATTTACCACTTTCGAAAGATGGCAGCATGCATTCATTAGGAAATGGATCGGTCCGCGATCCAAGGGAGAGCGGCCGGTTTTCAATGACGATGGATAAGGATTTTACTCGGAAATCTTCTGATGCTGGAGCCAGTGCTGGCGTTGGCTCAGCAGCAGGGTCCATCTCCAGTGCGCAGCAGGTCAATGGGATCTCGTCGAGCCACCGAACCCCCAACGGAAAGTCGCTGGTTAACGGAGATCGCCCCCAACCGTCAGTTGACGAACTGGTTTCTCAGAACTCGACAGTGGTCGCAAACGGGAATACCCTCTCGAGCTCGCTATCCGAAGATACCAGCCGGCTCGCATCCGAACCCGATCGATTGTCTCCCTCACAGACGGCAGCTCCCCACCGTTATTCGTCCCCCCCTCTCCCCTCAGCCGCCGCTGACGCTAGCCACACGCAAGATCCCGCAGCATCAGGCCTTCGACATCGACATACGCTGCAAGTTCCCAGAGCGACTAGCGGCCGTCGTAATAGCCGCGATCAGGCCGACGAGACGGCTTATAGCAGTGGCCGGCTATCTCCAACAGCAGGAGGAATTCGCCGAACGTCACTCAGCTTGGTTCGGCGGGCTACAAAAACGAATCACTCGGACTCGATCCCTGACGAGGCCAACCCGGGCGAAGATGCAGCGCGTTGGGCAGAAGCGATCAAGCAGAGGAGAGCGTCAAGAAGGAAACGCCGTGATGACGACGATGAGGATCGCGTCATCGTTGGAACCAAAGTCGACCAGAACCACGTGAACTGGGTGACTGCGTACAATATGCTGACCGGAATTCGCTTTACGGTGTCGAGGATCAACGCGAAAATGGACCGGGAATTAACACCCGCAGATTTTGAAGCCAAGCATAAATTCTCTTTCGACATGTATGACGACTGTCACCTTCCGTTCCCATTCCCAAATCTTGTTGATTGGCTAACATTTCGTTGCTATTAGTACTGGTAACGAGCTGACGCCCTCTGCAAAATACGACTTCAAATTTAAGGACTATGCGCCGTGGGTTTTCCGGCATTTGCGAGCCAAATTCCGCCTTGACCCGGCCGACTATTTGATGTCCCTGACCAGCAAGTATATCCTCTCCGAGCTGGGCTCGCCAGGAAAGAGCGGAAGCTTCTTCTACTTCTCCCGGGACTACAAATACATTATCAAGACTATCCACCACTCCGAACACAAACTGCTGCGAAAGATTCTTCCAGAATATTACAAACATGTGGAGCAGAACCCCAACACGCTGATATCACAATTTTATGGTCTTCACCGGGTGAAGATGGCATACGGGCGCAAGATCCACTTCGTGGTTATGAATAACCTCTTCCCTCCCCACCGCGACATCCACCAGACCTTCGACCTGAAGGGGTCAACAATCGGCCGGGACTTGCGGGAGCAGGATCTTGAGAAGAATCCGCGGGCCACTTTGAAGGATCTAAACTGGCTTCGCAGAGGCCGTCACCTGGAATGCGGGCCTTCGAAACGGCAATTCTTCCTCGCTCAGCTGGAACGCGATGTTGAGCTGTTGAAGAAACTGAAGATAATGGATTACTCTCTTTTGGTGGGTATCCACGACCTTGGGAGAGGCAACGAAGAAAAGCTTCGCGACAAGACGTTGCAAGTGTTTCAACCGGGAGGTCACCGTGAAGAAGAGACGAATCCAAACATGCTGATGCGCACTCCTTCCAAGCTGGAAAACGAACGCAAGGCACGTGAGCTGCGGATGCTCATAAAAAGGGAGCGTCCTGTGCCGCTTGATAAGGCCGCCGCGAAGATGCCCGAAGAGATTCTAGATGAGAGACAGTATCACATCTTTTATGCCGATGACGGAGGGTTCCGAGCCACTCACGAGAACGGGCAGCCTGGCGATGAGATCTATTACCTTGGCATAATTGACTGTCTGACACATGTAAGTGCATTACTGCAATTCAAAAGCAGCCGGTCTTCCATCGAGCCCTGAGCAATGACTGACACTGTGACAGTATGGGACCGTGAAGAAACTGGAAAACTTTTTCAAAGGACTTTCCCATGATCGCGGCCAGATCTCCCCAATTCCGCCTGAGAGCTATGGCGACCGGTTTGTTAACTTTATCCGGGGCATTACTATGTCCAAGGAGGAAGTCGAACGGCATAAAGAAGCTCGAGCGCAGGGCAAAACATCAGCAGAACGAACCGAGTCTGTCGAACGAACAATGCAGGCTGCCGAGAAGGAAGCCGCAAAGGACGTCTCGACCACGCATCCTCG